CTCAGTAACATCTTTCTTCATGATGTTAGAAAACAGACTGAATTTGGGTCTGCAGAAGTACAAGGATTGTCTGCCCACACCCTAAACAATGGACAAAGTGTCATTATGGGCACTATTCCTTGGGCTTTTAATTTAGCACCATTTCTAAGTTTGTATTAAGGTTCTCCAGAGAAACAGAACCAATGGGAGATCATATCCACATCCATATCTGTATCTGTATATGTATGTGTGTGTGTGTGTGTGTGTGTGTGTGTGTGTGTCTGTGTCTGTCTGTCTGTCTGTCTGTCTGTCTACCTATCTAAAGAGATTTATCATCAGGAACTGGCTTATGAAATTATGAAGGCTTGCAAGTCCCACGACCTGCTGGGTAAGTCAGCATCTGGGGACCCAAGAAAGCTCATGTAGTTATTTCTAGTCCAAGTCCGAAGGCCTGAGAACAGGGAGAGTCAATGGTGTGGATCTAGTCTGAAGGCTGGCAGGCTTAAGACCCAGGGAAAGCCATTGTTTCAGTTCAAGTCCGAAGGCAGTTCCAGTCTGAAGGTGGTCAGGCAGGAGGAATTCTCTCTTACTTGAGGGACTGTCAGTCTTTGTGTTCCAGTCAGGTCTTCACCTAATGGGATGAGGCTCACCCACGTTAGGGAAGGCACTCTGCTTTACTCTACCAATTTAAATGCTAACCTCATCCAAAAACACCCTCAAACACTCAGAATAATGTTTGCCAAAATATCTGGGCACCCCATGGTCCCTCGTCAAGTTGGCACATAAAATTTACCATCATAAAGCCTTACCGTTAATATACAGCTAAACCAATTGTGATTTACCAGGTCTTCCAAACAGCATGAGGACTATAAATTCATTTACCAGAGAGGATATCTATCTTAGAGCAAAACTGAAGATGACGATGCCAAAAGAGGAAAGGGAAACAGGAGACAGTAACAGACGGTGACTTCAGACCTAGTGATAAAGTAGTAGGAGGAAGAAATTTTTAGGAAGTCCCAAGATCAGAGGCTGAAGTTACTGTCGTGGAAGGTAAGGAACAGGTGGGGATGTTAAACGGACAAGGGTAATGTCCAAAACACACAAATTAAGGGAATTATGCAGGACTTCTTAAGGAAAGACTACCCATGGGGGTCACAGCAGAATGAACAAGAGACTGCTGCAGCCCAGGTTCTCCACAGCTGCCCTTCGCCCCGAAGACAAGCCCACCTCATGCTCCACAGTGACAGAGTGTGGGAGTGACTAGCTGAGGGGTCTGACCAGAGGATAAGTGGGATCAGGGAGACTCAGCTCTGCCCGAGGTCAATTCACGCGCCAGGCGGGCACCAGCCACCAAGCGCTGCCGGCACATGTCTCTGCACTTCGCTCTTCCCTCGACCAGCTCTTGCTCACAAACACACTCAGCCCCTCTCATCCTAAACAGATCCCAGAGTCCCTTGCCTGCCCCTGCGCTGTCCTGAGTTACCTTGGTAAACAAAGGGCATTGCCACTACCCAGTTCTACGAGGATTAAATCATCAGTCACGGCAGTCACTACTCAGAAACCACCCATTCCTAGGAATGCCTGCTGCCTCCTCCAATGCAGCGAGGAATTTCCAACTCTACTCTGCCCTGACTCTGTCTCTCCAAATTGTCTTACATTTTTAATTGCCTTCTGGCCATTTCCCCTCAACTACACACCAGAGCCCCAGATTCATAGTTCTAAAATCTGACCTTCTTGTCTTTGTTAACATTATCAACGGTACCCACAACGACCAGATTCTAAACTCCAAGATCATCTCTGCCCCCAATGTATAAGCAGTCATTTTGACTTATAAAATTCCCTTTGCAAAGTCTCTCATATTTACCTCCCCTTCCCATTTTAACTTCCACCTTAGCTCAGTTCCTTCTTCTCACTTCTATGGTACTGCAGTTGCTTTTGGCTGACCTCCTGCCCCTGAACTATTCTTTCCAATCCACCCTGCACCATATTGGGAGACAATGCTCCATGTATGTCTCCTATTCCTGCACTGACTGGGATCTCTTTGGGGGTTCCTCTCCTGTTACGCACCCACAGCATGTGCAAGTATCATCTGGCCCTCACTGCATTGCCCTGTGGGGCTTAGAGAATCAACCAGCCTAACTTGTTTAACTTGTAAGAAGGGCAAAATCTCAGACCCCTCACAGCCTCTGACTTAGCACCACCATCAAATTATCTTTTGAAGGATCTGCTTTGGCCATGCTACTTCCCTGCCTGAAACCCTTCAATGGCTTCCTAGCACAGAATGAAACTGTCTTAACTGTCATTCAAGTTCTCTTTCTAGCCTGTCCCCCCACTTTACATAAAGGACTTGAGCATTTGTGGATTTTGGTATTTTTAGGGGGCCTGGAAACAATCCACCCCAGATACTGAGGGAGGACAGAAGTATTGAGAAAGAAAAGTGAAAGCAAAGTTTTTGATAATCATCCAGGTCTACAGATGTTTATCAGTTGGATATGTGCACATAACAGATAATGCTGGAATCTTATCCTATGTAAATCTTGTGTCCTAATCAATCTGGACATCAAGATGTTTCCCAAACATAGACATACTATATCCTGTGTCCAGTGTCTGGCCATGCCTAGAATGCAATACTTCAGATTGCAGACGGGGGAAAACCCATGACGCACCAGTGCGTGAAACGCCCATAGCAACCTCTGAGGATTGGTGAGCCAACCACTGATTTCTTCATGCATGTTGCCACGGCTCCCATCAGGTGGGAGATCAGCCAGACCTTTCATCTTGGCCATAGCCAACTGAACTGAAGGTTAATGCTGCAGCCCCAGGTAACCACACTCTGCAAGCTGAACCACCTCTGAGAATGCTTGGCTTGAAATTCTGTCCAACAGAAAAGCTCTGTATTTGATGGTGGCCAACAGACCTCAAACATCTCCTCCTATTTGAGAAGTAAAGTGAAAAGGGTGAGGAGAGGCAGCTCAGGTTCTAGCGGCAACACGTGAGTTGTGGTTTCAGTTCTCCTTGAGGCTTTACGTTACAATCTTTGCTCGTGTCACATCTCTGGGTTTTCTTTCAACAAATTCCCAAGAATTCCAAAGATAATATGGACATGCAATTGTCTTGCAGGCCTCAACAGCTTAATTCAAGTGCCCTCCTCACCAATCTCTAAGGTATGTGTACAAAGATGCTGGTTGAAGCACTGTGTGTAAATACCAAATGTAACCAGTCTATATAAATGGGCTAGTTTTATTTATATTTCATCATCAGTTGTTAAGATACATCTCAGAGACGTAAAATATCAGTAAAATAACACACAATGGTTACGTCATTGATTGTTCCAATGTGTGGGGAAAAATATGCATTCTAGAATTAAAGAACTAAAGTATGGTGCATTCAAATAATGGGAAGTTTTGCAGTTGGGACAGGTAAATGGCACAAGATGGGGCTTTTAGGGGGGGTGGCGCATTCCCTTCAGAACAAGGAAGGTGGAGAGAGGAGCAGTGATTCCACACATGGGTCTACACCTCAAGGTATAGAGCTATCTATGGTGTCACTTGTCATGGTTTGTGCTTGAAAAGTAGACAACTTTAAACAAGGTTGTGGATGTTTGGGTCTGCCTTGATGTTTTTATATTTTTGTAAGTCTAAAATTTAACACAATTTTCTTGAAGTGGTCTTAGCAATCTTGTATTTGCCTCCGTTCTTTGGGACACCTTGTGTTCAATGATAGCTTAAAAATCAATTCTATAAATAAAGGAGTTGAGGGAAACATTTACCCTCATTAGCTCCACAAGTTGACTGCTAGGGAAGAAGGAATTTCATCATTCCAGTAACATCTTGTACATGCACATACCCAACTGATAATCATCTATAGATTTCTCAACACTTCATTCCTCCCTCAGTATCCATGGTGGATTGCTTCCAAGCCCTAGGGAAGCCAAAATCCCCAACTGCTCAAGTCCCTTGTATAAAAATGGCGTAGTATTTGCATATAATCTGACATCCTCCCCTATATTTTAAATAATCTCTAGCTTACCTGTAATACCTAATATGATGTAAATGCTATGTAAATCGTTGTAAATATAACGGAAGTGCTAAATAAATGGTTCTCAGTGCAGCAAATTCAAGTTTTGCTTTTGTGGAAATTTCTGGAATTTCCTGCCCCCCCCCCGGAAAAATCCTCGGTTGGACTGACTGCACACTCTGGCTTCACATTAGCTATAAGTCTGCCTAGATTTAAGCAGGGTCAGATTTGCAACAACAAAAAAAGATATCTCAATACAGCTTTAAAAAAAACTTAAAAAAAAGTGCGTGCCTGGGGAGGAGGGCTTTTCAATGGAATCTCTTAAATACAACACCCCTGGCCATTTACAAAGGGGGCTGAAGTTTTAGGGATACGTTTTCTAAAGCCTGGTGTGAAATAAAGTGCAAGATTTGGAGCCAGACTAAAATTGACTGGATCATGCCAGCTGTGCGGCATTTGTACAATCACCCGACTCTGCAGGGTCTGTTTTCTCCTCTGTAAACTGGTGACAATAATAAGTAGCTTACGGGATGCTTGTGAAGACCAGAAATTTTAAACACAGTACTGTGCCTGGCACACAGTCGTCACTCGATAAATGAATAATATCAGGGCAAGGGGGGTTTGGGTTTTGGCATTGGCCCTAGCGTGCCTCATCACCTCTCCTTGCTCCCTCTGGGGGTTCAAAAACTCTCAATTATGTGCAACACTGATGTGCAGGTTACAAAATCAAGTAAGTCAAAGCCCTTCAGCAGCTTACAGTAACAATTTTTGTTTTGTTTTGTTTTTTTAATTTGGTAGAGGAATTGGCACCACTACGGAAACTGCACTCTCTTTTCACGGACTTGGGACCTCGGAGAATTGCAGCATCTGGCCAAAGGCCACGGACACCGCGGCCTCCACGCAGACTTCCCGCCAGCGGGGATGGAGTCGTCCCCTAGTCCTTTTTCAGGAAACTCCCTGGAGCCAGAAAGGAAAGAGGGGTGGTGGGAGGCGACGGCACTTACCAGTGCGAAGTGCACCAGGGCGTCGAAGCAGAGCCAGGCGAGCGCCCCGCGGTCCGCCGCCCCCCGCCCGCGGCCCAGGCGCAGGCCGAGCGCGCAGCCCACAGCCAGCAGCGCGGCGCACAGAAGCAGCGAGGCGCCCGCCTCGGCGCCCAGCTCCCCCGCAGCGCGCATGCTTCCTGCACCCAACCCGGAATGCTGGGAACGTGGGCTGGGAGAGCGGGAATGGGAGGGCGGGGCGGGGCTCTCGGCGGGGGCGGGGCGGGGGGAGGGAGGCTTCCCCTCCCGCCTCTCCGCCTCCCCGTCTTTCCCGCCCTCAGAGCCGGGAGGTTTTCTGAAGTCAGGACCGTGCTCAGCATCTCGAATGAGTAACTGCCAGGACCAAACCTGTTCCCTGACCCCGCCCAAAGAAGTGGTAATAGGGCCACATCTTTTGATGCAGTTTATGTTTTAACGTGGTTCAAAACCTTAAGCCGCAAGATAAAGTCCAGATGGCGGAAATTTTGCCAATGGACCAGGGAGAATTTTAGGGAGAAAAAGTTCTAATTAGCCTCTTGCAAGTTTTGCAGGAGAGATTCGGGCCAATGGCATTTTCAGTCCCCAGTAGGCTTTTTAAAGCCCTCGTGGTTTACTCTTACTCTGTTTCTTAAAATCCAGAATAGCAGCAAAAGCATGGGGGAGAGGAGCAAGAGACCCCTTCGGCTTGGTACTAGGTGCTTTCACCTGCGCTGTGTTATCTAACATCACGACAACCCTAGGAGGTCAGTGTTTTCCTGTTTTACAAATGTGAAAACAGGTTCACATTAAATAACTCGTACAAGGACTCTCGGAGACTGGGCTGAGGCCCAGTAACTGGGTGAAACCAAAGCCTTTGCTTTTCGATCCTGCACTCTGAGGTCTTAATGGACAACTACAGTCGGCCGTCCGTTCTCGTGGGTTTGGCACCCGCGGATAGGGAGGGCCAACTGGGATTTGAGCGTCTGAGGAGTTGAGTATACACCGGGGCTTCTGGAACCAACGCCCAAAGGACCACTTTATAGCTCTCCTCAAATGAAGTGCCACTTCATCTAGATCACCATGTTAACCTGTTCTCTCTAGTTTTGCTAGCATCTTTTTGTTTGCTTGATTTTAACCTTCTCCCCCTCTCCCTTACATAGGGCTCCGTTTCTTAGAGACTTAGCACTGGAGAAAGGAATCAGAGTTAAAAGTGATTGTAACCCACACTGATCAAGTCTGTGCCTTCAATTTTGGGTAGCCAGATAAAATATTGGACACCATGATAAATTTCAGATAAAAAATGAATTATTTAAAAATATATACTTATACTATGTATCACTAGGGTGCATATACTAAAAAAATATTCAATTGTTCATTGTTTTGAAAGGTGTTACATACATACAACGGAATATTATTCAGCCATATAAAGGAAGGAAATCCTGATATGCGACAACATGGATGAACCTTGAGGACATTATGCTGAGTGAATTAAGTCAGTCACAAAAGTAAAAGACCGCATGGTTCCCTTTAAATGAGGTAACTATTTTCCTAGAGACAGAAAATAGAATGGTGATTGCCAGGAGCTGGCAGTTGGGAGAAAAGGCAAGTTGTTCAACTGCTATTGAGTTTCAATTTTGCAAGTTGAAGTTCTGGAGCATGGTTGCACAACAGTATGAATATATTTAACTCTATTGAACTATACACTTGCAAATGTTTAAGATGGTAAATATTATGTGTATTTTACACAGTTGAAACAATGATTTCTGGCACTGAACACAAGTTCAAAAACTTTCTCCCCTAGTTACTCCCTATGTCACTTTTTGTATAGTAGTTAACACCAGATGAAATTACTTATTTAGACATGTATTGCTAATCTCTTGCCACTAGAATATGAGCTCCACAAGGCCATGGGTTGTGTCTGGCTTGGTTACTGCCGTATCCCTGGCACCTGTTAGAGTTTGGCATATACTGGTTGCTCAATTAAATAACTGTTGGCTGAAGAAGTAAGTGTGGCCAATCCTGCCACCTATGCTTTGGATTCTCTCCTGTAAGTTAGAAAATAGATGATCACTCTTTGTTCTTCTCTTGTGTATTCAATGTCTTCCTCAACTAGATTTCCCCATCGATTGCCCCGTACCACTCTTTAGTGACTCTCCTGCCCTGTTCCCCTTCTAGGCAAAATAGAAACCTAAGAAACTGAGATTTCCTGTCTTCATATTCTGCTCGTCAGTCCTTCCCACTGATCCTGTTTCCACCCTCAGTACCGCGGTGGTACAGCTCTCACCAAGGTGACCAGTGACCTCTGCATCACTAACCAAAGGACATTTCCCGTCCTTACCTTGCTTGACCTGTCAGCAGCATCACTGGGCACTGAAATCTCTTTTCCCTTGGTTTTCTGAGAAAACGCACAGGGTTTTCTTCCCACCACCCTGGCCATATCTTGTTTTCTTTACAAGCTCACCCTTCTCTAGGTGCCCTCTGAATGCTGGAACTCCACAACACTCAGTCCTAATCCCTGTTCTTACTCCAAATGCTGGACCCAGGCAGTCTCACCCTCATTCCCTGCTTTAATAACCAACAAAATAGGCAGAGGATTCAAATTTGTAGCCCGGCCCGCTCCTTTGAGCTCCAAACCAGTATTTTCAACTGCCCTACTTGATGGTCATTTGGATGTCTTCACTCAACACAACCCAAACTGAACCCATCACCTTTTACTCACTATGTCTGAGTCTCCACCAATGTTTGCTATCTTATGTTACCTCCATTCAGCAGTTACAGCAAACCAGAAACACAGAAATCATCCCCAAACTCCAGATCTAAGGCATCACCAGCTCTTGTCTATTTTAGCTGCTGAGTATCTCTTGGTCACATGACTTCATGGACCAAGCTGTTCACCATCTCTTACCTTAATGCATCACACTCACTATTTTTGCCTGTACACATCACTAAACCCAAAGTACATTTCCTGTCCTCAACTTACCAGCCAGTGATTGCTATTAAACACGATTCTCCTATCTGTTTTGCTTAATGATGATTTACCATTGCTCTTAGAATACCAAAATTTCCTTATATGCCTTGCAGGCGTGGGGTCTGACACCTGCCTCTCTTTAGCCCCTCCCCTGTCCCTGGTAGTCCTCCTCCCAACTGTCATCTGGGCTGCAGCTCTACTTTCTCTCACTCCCTTGAACTCCCCTGCTGCTTCCAACTTTGTATGTACTGTTTCCTCTGCCAGTAAAGCTTTTCCAGTGAATCTGCCCAATCAACTCCTGCTTTTTCTTCACTACTATCGGCTATGTACTTTTGGGAAAACTTAACCTCTCTCTGCCTGATAAAAACTTCACCACAGAGTTGTTGGGGGCTAGTTGGTACTTCTCAAGTGCTCATACCAGTAGCTGGTACTTAGTCAGAACTCATCTTCCTAACTAGGCCAATTCTGTTGCATATCATTGTATAGATATCTTTTTTTTCTAGCATTTGTTGTAACTTTTACTTTTATTCCTGTGTGTGTGTGTGTGTGTGTGTGTGTGTGTGTGTGTGTATCGTGTGCCCCAGCTGGCATGGGAAGAGTGCTCAAGAACTATTTGAATGTTTCTAAAGGCTTGGTCAAAATTCTTACTCATAAAAGACTGAAGACATGGAAAGGATATATACACAGAATCTGTTCTTATGAAGAAAACTGGCTGAAATCAATAATATGAAATTCACAAATTCTTCTATTTAGGTTTGAAAAGTGTAAATGCCTAAACACTAGGTCAAAGAGACCTGAAGACAAAGGAACTGAAGCTGTTAGTTAATCACAAATCTAATTATGATGAAGCTGGTAAAACATTAACAGAATTAAATATCCAGATTAAGGAATGCTGCCATTCCATGGTACCTAGAAACTAGCCACACCGCACTCCATTAGTGAGGTCCTTGGAATGCATGACGCTGACAGGAACCAGGTCCAGGAAAGACTTTACAAGCAGGATGGGTAAAAGGCATAGGGTGTTCAGGCTAAGGAAGCTGATAAAAGCAGATGTCTCTTCTGCCATCTGGGACTAAAAGTCTACCTGGAATCGAGAACAGTTAATTTATAATGATGGTCATTTAAGAGTGGTGACTTCTATTCCGTATTAAGAAAAGACTGGGTAACAATCAAGCTTCTCAACAAGTGGAAAGGCTCACGTGGAGTAAGTGCCACATCACTCACTTCTCAGACTCTTCTGACTCCACGTTCCTCCTGCAGGAATGTGTCCATAAAATAGCCTGCCTCAAAAACCGACTTTATCTTTAAAATGTTATGCAAAATGTGTTCTTTACTCCCTACACGTAGGCTTCTATCATCATAAAACTGTTTTACTTACCATCAAGTAAAACCACTGTCCTTGAGATGTGCCTGGTTTCTCTTCCAGCTTCATGCATTCCTTGGCACAAGGCCCCCATTTATCTTTGGGGACCACAGCTTGAAAAAAGAGAATTACTCAAGGTAGATAGTAGGTCTTTAGGGTTGGCAAGAGGGATACTGTAGAAGAAATTCCCCGCAAGGAACACATCCTTTACAGCACAGCTCAGCCATACATAGATCCCCTGCTTTTAATCATTTTTAATAAACTTGTAAGTTTCCTGATGAGGCCTGTCTCTCAGAATGCTTCAAATGTTTTTCCAACTATGCTGTGATTTTTGTGGTCCACCCCCAGCTTTCCCAGAGAATGTCAAGATCTTCAACTAAAAATGTTTGGAAAACACTGCTACAGGGCAGTGTTGAGAAGACAAAGGGCAATCAACGCATTTAGTTGTTTCATACAACTTTTAGCCACATGATACATTTAAGAGAATAGTTACTCCATATCCCTGCTTCTCAGTCCTTTGCAGTAGATGCGCTCAGTACCACCAGGAGTTCCCACGGGTGATTGGGGAAATGTAGTTAGTTCTAGCTCCAATTTCTCTTAAAAGTGAGAAGGGGGAAAAGGCACATTTTGGTCTCCTCTTTTTATCTTATGCATCTGAAAAAAAAATGCCTGAGACCATTCATAGAACAAAAAGGCATGATTTAGGCTGTCTCATTTGAGCGGAGAAGTTTCCTACAGGAACTGATTTAGTTCAATGGTTCACACTTGGGGCAGTTTTGGTCCCCAGGAAATAGATGGCAGTGTCTTGAGACATTTTTGGTGGTCCTGACTGAGTAGAGAGGTGCTACCCACAGTGGGCAGAGCCTATGGATGCTACTGAACACCTT